GGAGCCCAGGAAACAAGGGAGAGAAACCTGACAGGGAAAGGTTTCAAGGCACTCCAGAACTCAGAAACATGTTCATGCCTTGCCAGGCCACCCCAATTCTGTGCCACCCACCTGAACTGGGCAGGTGAGGCCAAGGCTCCCCTTCCTCCTGCCAATCACTGTCCCAGCACATGGATCCCCGTGCTGGGCAGCACTTGGAAAAACTTGGGAAAGGCAAAAGGGAATTAGCACTGCCTGTCAGAAAACGAGTGTCTGTGAACATCCCTTCTGCACCAATGGAATCCCACCCCTCTGCTCCAATAAACCCAGGGCAGGCAGGTCTCTCCAGCCCAGGGAGAGCAGGAAGGAGAACTGCAGGAACACAGGCAGGCACGGGCAGCTCTTGGCACTGATTCCCTGCAGACCTCTCTGCACTTGGGGCTCTGGGCACTTCAGTTCTAAGGAATGGGGGGGCAGCAGCCCAGGAATGCCCCTCAAAACCAGGGGCCTGGGCAGCTGGAGATTAGAGGAGGGGAGTTGTGAGGGGAGACACGGAGAGAGAACAGGACCGGGGGTTGTTTGGGAACAGGCTGTGTGTCCAGCAGGGATGGGAACTGGAACCACGGGAGGCTGGAGGAAGGCAGGGGGGGAGCACTGGCCTGCCTTGGATGGATCCTTTTTCCCTTGGCTCAGGGGCCTCAGCTCCACCCTCTCTGAGAGCAGCAGGGAACTGCTGCAGGGGAAGAGTTCATTCAGGCACAAGCCAGTGATGCAGCCACGGGGGCAGGGGAAGAGGGGAGAGGAACTGACACCAAAGTGACACCATCACCACTGAAAGGGACTTCATTGAGCTGCAACACAAACACATTCACAGCAGGCCAGGGCAGGAGGTGCCCCCAGGACCACCAGCACAGCAGCTGGGCTTGCAGGAACACCATCTTCTCAAGGGATGGAGCCAGGAAAAAACTCCTTGTTATTTCTAGATAAAAGCTATGTAATTGAAAAGTTACTGAATATTGATCAGTAAGTGCACTGGGGATTAGTTGGCTGGACTATCAAGTGCCTTGTAGCCTCAACTTTACTGCTGGCCTGCCATGAACTATGAGCCAAATCACTGCACGCCCCTGTACTGAGTTTTTCCATGGGAAATTTACAGACAAGGACCCATTAAAAATGGCTTTTGTAAATCTCATTGTAATGATAACTTTCAAGAAAATGACTAGTTGTATATAGGATAGCTGGAAAATCTTGTCTTTTTTGTTTCTCCAGGAACTTGCTGCACCTGCAGCAGATTCTACTAATAAAGGGTATATTGGTGAGTGTGGATCTTGCTCAGGTCTTGTATTGCTTCAGTTAAGAGGCTGTAATGACAGATTGTGTTGGGAAGATTTCTTAAAAGAATGGATTTGGTAAAAGTAGCGGTCTGAAAAATAAAAGCTAGACACGATTCCAGTATGGGGAAACTGGAATGCTTTATTGAACACAAGAACACAATTTTAAAGGCATCTGGGGCTGGACATGTTAATGAAGGGGACAACCTATGTTAATTGGGGAGTTACACAAGTTTTTACTGAAGCTTCCAAATAGTTAATTTTTCTTCTAGTAGGATTACATGGGGGATAGAGGGATTACAGGGGTTTAGACATGGTTTTAACAATCATCTCAAAAAGTCCTTTCTTAATTCTTCTTGGAGCCAGGTTTATACCTCCGGGTTACACATTAAACAGGTCTCTGAACTGTTGCGGGAGTAACAGGCGCTGTAATGTGGAAGCCATTTTTCAAGAAGATGTCGTGACTGACCCAGGGCGAAGTGACCTTATACGCGCAGGAAACGAAGTAAACAAAGCCGTAAAACTTGAGGGATGTCACAGACCAGGATGTTTAAGTACGATAACGGGACTTGAAAGAAAACGCAGAAACACCAGCTGTG